TTCTCCTTACCAGCAATTGCCAAATAAGGAAGGACGTATCATTAGACAACTGATAGGAAAATACAGTGAGGAGGAATAAGTGCTAGAGTTTTACAGAATAGTAGGATGACTATAGTTTAGAATTTATTGTATATTTTATAAGGAAATAGAAGAGTGTAAACATTTCCAACATAAAGAAATGATAAATGTTTAAGGAGATGGAAATGGTGATTATCCTGATTGGATCATTATATACAGTATACATGTGCCAAATATTTAGACTGTACTCCATAAAGATGGTAAAGAATTATATGTCAATTTAAAAAATGCACTAGCAATACCGCAATCATTACAATGAAAATATGGTTCAAGAAACAGTCCAGCAGGCCAGCAAGATGGCTCAGGGGACTAAGCACCTGCTTAGGCAAGTGCAGGGACTGGGGTTTGATCCCCAGCACCACAGGCTGAGCTGGCTTCCCCCCCAGGCACACTGAGCCAGTCCAGAGTTCAGGTGTGGTGGCGCACACCAGTAACCCTAGTGTTGGGAAGGCTGAAAACAGGATCACCACGAGTCTGGTCTGTATAGTGAGACCCTGTACCAAATACACATTAAAAAAAAAAAAGCCAAAGTAACAAACGCTCTGCTCCTAGGCTTCACCCACATAAATATTTGACATCCCCAAGGATAAGAGGAAGGAGAGAAGCAGAAGTAAAAAGACTCAAGATGTGACATGTATATGTACGTTTCCCACAATGAATGTATTTATTATGTATCAGAAATTAATAATAATTCTAAATTATTGTGTCCAGAAACCTGGCTTCTGTTTGGTTTTGCCACTGACTACCTGTGATATTCTGGTCAAGTCACATGATTTAAATTTACTGGTCTAAGTTTTCTCTTCTGTAAAAAAAGGAAAATGCACAAGTTTTTTTCTCAGCCCTCCTTGAATTCCAACAGCCAGGAGGAAAACAGAGCTACTGAATGGAAAAATAAATTAGGCTTACAGTTACAGAATATAATTCTGTCCCAATAAATATGAACTTTTAAGTTTTTTCCATGAAGGAAAATGCTACAGGGCTTTTGCCTTCAGGAAGGAAAGCTGACTGATACAGCCATCAATGCTGATAAAGAACAGCCAGCAGAGCAGAGGAATAAGGCATTAGACAGAAGGCCTTGGATAAGAGAGATCTGCCCTTGATTGGGCAATGAGGGATTACAACACAAGAGAAATGAGCTGGAAGGCACAGACTAGGGCAGGAACACCAAACCAAGGGCAAAGGAAGATGCTCTTAGTGCGCAGATATGATGACATGCACCATCAGAAGGCAAATGAGAATACTTCATAGTTTTTTTCATTCTGAATTAACAGGGAAGAGGTAAGTACATGTAGCATTCTCAAAGTGGTGGGATCTGACACACAAACATGGGGAAAGAAGAGTGTAGTGCTTCTACTCTGTAAGATCGAAAGAAGCTAAGGAGAGGTCAGGGGAACATCTGGTTCCAACACTCTAGATCCTTTAGACACTAGAGACTACTGGATACCATGTAATGATTGAGGGGTAAGAAGAGTCTCATCTTAAATTCCTGGACATAAGCCCTGACAGAGTCTGAAAAAGAGAGATGACTTATCTATAGTTTGTGAATTCTTTTTTCCTTGCCTGTCAAGAGTGGCGACAGAAGCACTAAGCTCCGGGTGCTCAGACAGGCGCCCTTCCTCCTCTCCACCTTCCTTCCATCCCTAACTTAACAATCTATCAATCAAAGGAAGGCAGGAGGAGGCAAGAGCCTGAAGGCTGTCTTGTTTATTCCTCAACATTCCCTCCCTAGTCTCTTCAGCTGGCAGGAAGTATGAGGCAGAAGCGTTCAACAATTCAGGGCAGCAGCAATGCTAAGAGCCATCTGTGATCTCTCCTAGAATGCTAGCATACAGCACAGTGAGCCCTGCCAGAGAGGTGTGGTGGAGCAAAAGCAGATTCCATGAAGGGAAATCCTTATCTTTGGCTGACAGAAAATTTCCTTAGCCACAGCCTGAGATATGAACTTTGATGAGAGAGAGAAGGCCCTGAGATAGGTAATTTAAATACTCAAATCTCACTCATTACTAGTACTGGACAGGGGACAATTCTATCCTGCAGACTACACTGTCTTCTATTTCAAAGCAGGTCACAGTGGGGTGTGGGGGAATTCTAGTCTAGTCATTTTCCAGGTTTTATAAATTCTCCCTAATTCCCAGCACAGAGTATGCAGTTCTAGATTATATCCACATATCTATTTTGATGTTGTAATTCTGTTTGTTGTCTCTACAAAGAAGGAATATTCCAAATCAGTTAGGCCATAGAAAGCCTGTATTTCACAGCAAAGAAAACTTTCATCACCAAAGACTGAGCATCTCTAATGCCCAGAACCCTGGGGTTCTTGTTTCTCAAGAGTTCCTCCCTGCAAGGATCCTAACTTTCCTTATCTTTCTTCCTTTTATTTTGTTTTGGGGGTGTGCTTTTGTTTTTTTGAGACAAGGACTCCCTTTGTAGTTCAGGCCAGCCTTGAACTCCCTGTGTAGCCCAGACTGGCCTTGAACTAACAGCAATCCTCCTGCCTCAGCCTCCTATGTGCTAGGATTCTGTGTGGCACTACACCCAGCTTTCTTTTTTTGTGGTGCTGGGGAATCAAACCTAAGTCCATCCTTGCTAGGAAAGAACTTTACCGCTAACCTACAACCCTAGCCTCTCTTTCTCTCATCCATTCTAGAAACGCTCTCTCCCTAGCATAGTGTATTTTCATCTCTTAGCAACTTCCAAACATTTATTTCAATAATTACTTCACTGGCAAAGGCAATATGATAAAGCAACCCCAGAACCAGTATATTCAAAAGGGTTGAAGGAACATAGGAAGGGCTGAGAAAGCAGGTTGTTGTTCATGGTAATATCAAACTGCTAATTTTTTTCTTTTTTCTTTTTTTTTTTTTCGGAACCGGGATTGAACTCAGACCCTTGCGATTGCCAGGCAAGCGCTTATTCTACTGAGCCATTTCCCCAGCCCCTAATTTTTTCTTTTAAAAGTACTTTTTAGCAATTATATTTTTCTTCCAAAAATTACAGGGCCATCTCTCTCTTCTCCTGCACCTCATTCACTGCCTCCTGCTCAATCCCCAAGGAAGACAGAGCCACATTATTAAGAGGCAAAACTTCTTGGCACGACGGTGTACGGTCAGCTGGATGTATTACATCTTTCAGCCCAATTATAGTCTGAAGGACAGCTACCAACCAATCCTTGCACCTATATGAGAGAAAATGGGTTCCATCTTCTTCTCTGTTGGAGATAATCATGGACATTTAGACTTAAATCCACTATGAAAGTTGGCAACATTAAGCCTTTCACCCATAAACTATAACTGGGCTTACAAGATTGCAATGTAAGTATTATAATAGAAAAGAAACTGAAAGCCACCTTCAGATGTGCTTTTCAGCACAGGAAAAACAATGATTACCAACATAGATATATGGCAAGAGTTCCTCAAGCCATATGTAGGAAACAGTCTAATGGGCTGGGAACAGAAGCAAGAACTCCTAGAATTCCTCAGCCTCTTTAAAACAGTATTATCCATCTGCACCCCAGAGAAAATGGCAAATCACAGCCAGCCCAGGATGAGCCATACCAGTAACCAGCTGGAACCCGACTCCAGTAAGGTGGACTACAGCATCTGTCACCTGAATACAGGCAGCCTCTCTGGCAGCTGCTACTGGTAAAAGCAAGTAAGCCACTGTGTTACTAGTATAAGAAATTCACAGCTCTGTTACCAGAGAAGCCCAGATGTTGTTGAAGAAAGCTACAGATGTGCCAGAGGCAAAGACCAAAATACCTACAGCAAAGAAAGCACAAGCTACCACTAAAATCCAGGCACTAAGGGCACCACCACCCAAACATACACATTCAGTCTTTATTTATTAACACTTACATATGGAAATAGGTATTCCCCGCTGCAGCTGAAGTAATTACAGAGAAATCAATTTATACTGCATCTGCTGGGATCAGCTGAAAACACAGGATGAGCTGAGCACAGAGCAGAAAATCAAGAGCCAATGAACAGTTCATCATCAGGCCAGCTGCTGTGTAGGAAACTGAAGCGGCTAAAGATGACAATAGCCTGAGCTGACCCTGGCCTCCAACTTGCTAGCCTTATAAGCTCCATTTCCTGAGACACCAACGAAGATCACCATCCTCCCAGAGAAGGGACACAGTCCTAACCCCTCCTGGGGCTGCAGGCGCCTAACCTTCCAAGTCAAGCAGAAGGTAAGTTATCTTTATATTGTCTGTCTGGCAGTGATAAAACCACCAAGAGACTCTGAGTCCCAATTCGGGAGGTATCTGGCAAAGGGCTAAACTTTTCCAGTGGCCACAGACTCTTCCTAGGCCAAACTGTCACATGCACAACAGTATCTCACAAGGCCCGAGCAGGTTCTTCATAATATAGTCAGTACCTCCTCCCCTCATTTACTAGTCCAGATGCTGTGTCTCATTGCTTTTTGGTAGCCACCACAGCACACTTGGTAGATAACTTCATGAAATTTAATTAACCTTTGTTCTAGAAACCCAGCAGTACCATTTATCCCATTAAGAAGAGCACTCAACCTGTACATGTAACCAAAGGTCTATTAGGTGTGTCAACTATTATGACTTTGATGATGTTAATCAAATAGGAAACCACATAAAGGTTTGATGTCAGCCTTTAGCAACAAACATCTGAGGTGGGACAATGACAAGGTAACAGAAAATTCACACTATCAAGAAGCTAACCCCAAACAATAGATCTGCTATCCCAAAATGTCCAGGCTTGCCGTAAATGGGTCTGTAGGGAATCCTCTAATTTGGAATAAAACCACATTGCCATTACCGGCTGCTCTGACCTTGTAATTGGTCATTACCCACAAGCTAATGAGCCTCCCACAGAGTGCACATAGCATTTGGCAGTTCATCCAGGGCAGCTTTGACTGGCAGTGGGCAGCCAGATCTGGCCACCTCTTACCTTTTCAGACTTGACTTTCTTTAGCGGGCGACACTCATTCTCCCCTTCCTCTGGCTCCGGCTTAGCTCCCAAAGGATTGAGCGCTGCCCCAGGCTCAATAGCTATACTCCCAAGTGGCTCCACAGCGCCTGTATCCACCCCCACACTTCCATCATACTGACCACCCCGTCCTCCCAAGGCCACTGGCTGGAGGACCCCAGGATCCTTTTCTGAACAAGTCCCCACTCCTTCGCTTCTCTCCTTCTTGCTCTTAGTCGAACTGTTCTCCTTCTCCTTTTTGGAGCCGGCTATACTGCGTGACGCCTTAGCCGCCTTCTCCGAGCCCTTGGGAGCAATAGCAGCAACCAGGCCTCCTGCATTGGCACCATCTCCTGAGCGCCCCTGCACCTCTTTCTTGCTAGCTGCCCCCTCACTTGGAGTGAACAAGGAAGTCCCTGGAGTGGGTTTGCTAGTGTCTTTGCCACTCTTATTCCTTTTGGATTTTGATTTGCCTTCCTTCCCTTGAGGACCTGGCACTGGGGTCACAAACTTGATGTTGTCTGGTAGTGTGGCCACAGCATTGGGAGCCGGTATCCCCACCTCCTTTGAGCCTGACATTTCCAGTTTCTGCTGGTCCTTTTCCAGATCGGCGTCCAGGTCAATGATGAGATTCCCTACTCCAATGTCCCATTCATCCCCACTGTCGTATGTCTCAACCGGGTTTGCATCCACTCCTTTCCCTCCGGAGGCTCCACTGCTCAAGGACATCTTAGAGTCAACGTCCCACCTCAAGATTCAAGGCTCTTCCTTGCCCCCAGCTTTCCTATTTTCAGCTTCAGCTATGTTCTCAGACCTGCCACATTGGTCAGTACATGCCCAGTGGACAACATCATTGCTGGAAAAAGAAAATTTAAAAATCTGTTAAAGGAAACAATACTGACAAGGAGACAGCCTGAAATAAACTCCCACACAAAACAGACCATTTCTGTATGGCTAGCACATCGCAACAGACAAGACAAACAGGATACAGTGCATTTCTAACCAAGTCATATTGGACCTAGGGAAGAGGAACTCCCGCTCCATCCCAGGAGAAAGTACAATATTTCCAACTGCCCACAAAGTCTGTGGTGAGTCCAAACTAGGAGTCCTCTCAGTTAGTTTTCCTTTCCTCGGAGACTTACTTCTGCTACCACAGGGAGCTGGCAATCCTCACTCAACCAGGCTAGGTTTGACCCTGGCATACCTGATTCAAGCTCTAGTACTACTTTACTCACACCCCATCTCTTCTTGCTTCTGAAAATGATCTAGCAAAGGTTTTAACAGTGCTCTACTAGTAGGCCCAGTCCCTAGTAATTTTTTTTTTTTTTTTGCAGTACCAGGGATTGAACTCAGGACCTTGTACTTGCCAGGCAAGTGCTTATTCTACTGAGCTATCTTCCCAACTCCCTAGTAAAAATGCATATGAAGAGATTCTTTGCCATTCTAGTACTGGCAAGAAAAAGCCTAAGTATCAAAAAGTAAATAAGAAACAGCGGGGCCGGGGAGATGGCTCAGTCAAATAAGCGCTTGACTGGCAAATGCAAGGATCTGAGTTCAATCCCCAGTTCTGCAAAAAAAAAAAAAAAAAAAAAAAAAAGAAACAGCAGGCGGAATTTGAAAAAATGCAACTTCAGGATAGAGGTAAAGACTGAAACTAGAGAAAAGAATTCTCAGAGAGGACGCAGGTACTTGAGGTCAGAGAAATTACATTAGCCTTGTCAAACTCCAGTTTCCTAATCATGTATGAAAAGCAGCATTCAGTGTGGTTTTTCCCACTTCTGACTAAAGTACCTATGGAAGCAGGTATGGTGGAACATACCTATAATCCTACACTGTGGGATGCTGAGGTAGGAGGAATGCTAGTATAAACCCAGTCTCAGCAACTTAGAGAGACCCTGTCTTGAAATTTAAAAAATTAAAAATGTGCTGGTTGCTTGCCTGGCAAGCTCAAGGACCAGAGTTCAATCCCTGGTTCCGTTAAAAAAAAAAAAAAAAAAAAAAAAAAACTGCTGGAGATGTAGCTCAGAGTAAAGGATCTGGGTTCAGTCCCTAGCACCAGAGCAACAAAACAAACACAACCCACCAGGATGTGGAATAACTCTGTCTTGTACTGACAGAAACAAGGGGATTGGGGCTGGAGAGATGGCTCAGTGGTCTAAAGCACCTACTTGAAACAAGGCTTGGCAAAGAACAGGGACCGCGGTTCGATCCCCCAGCACCACATGCCAGCCAGCCCGTCCCCTGGTGGGCTGAGCTGGCCACACACACACACACACAATAAATAAAAATAAATAAATAATTAAAAAAAAAAAAAAGAAAGAAACAAGGGGATTCATACTACATGAAAGAGAAGAAATGCCGGGGATATAGCTCAGTGGCATGAGTGACTGCCTGGAGAGTACAAGGTCCTGAATTCAATCCCTGATGCTGAAAAAAAAGAAAGAAAGAAAGAAAGAGAGGAAAAAAGGGTTAAGGGACTGTTACATGGTTGTTTATGCCTCTTCACTGTCCTAACTCATAAAGCCTAGGGAATGTGAAATCTAGAAAACCTGCAGTCAACATATACCATCCAGGTTTATTTTATGACAAAGCCAAAAAGTTCTGTTTTGGGGCCAGGAAGATAGCTGAGCAGTCTTAGTGCCCCAGTACCACATGACACGTGGCCCTGGAACCCAGGGTGTGCCGCACCGGTCACTGAAACTGGGTGTGGTGCTGTACACCTATATAACCCCAGCACTAGGAAAGCTGAGGTAGGAGGATCACTGTAAGTCCATGTTGCATAGTGAGACCCTGTACAAAATAAATAAATAGAAAAAAACCCACAAAATTCCATGTTGTCTTATCCTTGGAAAAATAAAACTTTCCTTAGATTCATAAGACTTCCCTCAATAAAATAGAATTATAATAAGGAAAGACTTGAGGATCATATAAAGAAAAACATAAACATATAAAAATGTTAGTGCTCGCTAAGCTTCTTACTCTGGCTGATCTAATGTATGGGGCCAGTAAGGATGCCAATAAGGAGACAGGCTGAAATGAAAAGATGTAATTTAGTTGAAAGAACAAAAGGGCATATATAACAAGATAGGCATGGTGGTGCACAGCTATAATATAGCCCTGAAAAGGTGAGGCATACAATCATGATTTCGAGGTTAGCTTGTACTATTCGCCAAGTTCAAGGTCAGTCTGAAACACATCTTAAGACCCTATGTCAAAAATCAAAACAAGGGGCCAGGGAGATGGCTCAGTAAAATTAAGTGTTTCCCTGGCAAGTGCAAGGGCCTGAGTTCAATCCCTGGTTCCACCAAAAAAAAAAAAAAAAAAAAAAAAAATCAAAAACAAAAACTAAATGAGAGACAGTGGTGGGGCTCACTGACGGAGGGCTTGTGTAAATGTACGAGGTCCTGGGTTACATCACTAGCACATATATGTGCATGCGCGCGCGCACACACACACACACACACACACAACATGCGAGTAATATCAATTAAAAATCATACAGGGGCCGGGGAGATGGCTCAGTAGAATAAGCACTTGCCTGGCAAGCACAAGGGCCTGAGTTCAATACCCAGTTCTGCCAAAAATAAAAATAAAAGTCATACCGAAGAGCTGGGGATACAGCTTAGTGGCAAAGTGCCTGCCTGGCAAATGCAAGATCCTGAGTTCAATTTCCAGTTCTAAAAACAACGATAAAAAAATTAAAATTTATACAGAATCAGAAAAGCACAGCAATAAGAGAGAAATGAATTGGTGAAGGTTTTTTTTCCCAGAATTAAACAGAATTGGATAGTGAAGAGAAAATAATAAAGGAAATGGAGATAAAGTGTTTAATGTCACTGAAGGAAAATCTATGAGGAGATTAGAACAAATGGGCATCAAGGGGTGGTGGCACATGCCTGTGATTGCAGTGCTTGGGAAGCTGAGGCAGGAGGATTGGGGTGAGTTCAAGACCAGCCTGGGCTACAAAGTCAGCTCAAGGCCAATCTGAACTGCATAGTGAGACCCTTTCTCAAAAAAAAAAAAAAAAAAAAAAAGAACAAATGTGAGAAGAGCGACCTATAGAAAACATAATACATGAATAATATTTTGAAAAGAACGAAGATCTTTTTTTGGTACTGGAAAGCAAACTCTCAGGACCTCACACTTGCCAAACAGGTACTATGGCACTGAGCTACATCCCTGATCCAGAACAAAAAAGCTTGCAAGCAGATTGGGTAAGTTCAGTACCTTTTCAGCAAAATTAATTTTATTTTATTTTTATTTTAGGGAAGAGTCTACAGGGTGTTCAGGGTCTCACTACTAGATCAGGCTCTTAGTGATCCACCTGTTTACAGCCTCCCAAGAGCTGGAATTACAGGCGCGGAACACCATGCCCAGTCTCAACTGCCATCTCAGCATGCCGTGGGGGTGGGGCTGGCACGGCAGGCCTGGGGATCAAACCCCCAACCCCTGAGCCTGACTGGCAGGCACTTTAATCCGCTGAGCTATTTGGCTGGTCCTAGCAAAATTAATTCCAAAAGCTAAACTTGCACACATTTTGGCAACACTTTTAAAACACGAACGACTAAAACAGGGCCAACTTCAGACTACTCTGCAATATTAATTGTTGAAAGAGAACAAAGAATTTTGAAGAGAAAATATTAGTAATTTTACACTAAATCAAGTTGTTTCTCATGTATAAAAACATTTTATTGGGGCTGGGGATAGCTCAGTAGAATAAGCTTGCCTGGCAAGCGTAAGGGCCTGAGTTCAATCCCTGGTTCTGCAAAAATGAATAAATAAAAACAATGTATTTTCAATTATTTAAGCACACATATATATCTTGTTAAAAATTAGCTAGAACCCTAAAAACAGCTCAATGTAGCATAAATTTAAGTAATTCTTCAAATTCAAATACCACTAAAGGGAAAGTTCAATACATAGGTTAAAACTTAACCCTTAAATAAATAGGGGTCAAATCAATACTTTATAATGATGTTTAAGCTCAAACTGGGCACGGTGGGGCACACCTGTAATCCCAGCACTTAGGAGGCTGATTCAGGAAGATCATTGCCAGTTCAAGGCCAGCCTGGGCTACAAAGTGAGCTAAAGACCAGCCTGAACTACACAGCAAGACCCTCTCTCAAGAAGAAAAAGGGGGGGAAAGGCACAAAAATTCAGTTTTAACACCAAGAAATAAAGACGAATCATAAATTATAAAACTAAAACTCCTGAACCAGGCATGGTGGTACACACCTGTAACTCCAGCCACTTGGGAGGCTAAGGCAAGAGGACTGCTGCAAGTTCAAGGCTAGTCTGGGCTACATATCAAGACTCTGTCTCAAAAAGCAATAAAAAAAAAAAAAAAAAAATTAAGCCAGGCATGGTGTTGCATCCCTGTAATCCCAGCACTGGAATACTGAGGCAGGAAGATCACAAGTTCAAGCCTGGTTTGGGAATTTAGTAACTCAATGAGACCCTGTCTCAAAAAAATTACAAAAGGCTGGGGATATAGCTCAGTGTAAAGGTCAGTATTACAGAAAGTAATAGTAATAACAATAACATGCTAAAGATGTAGCTCATTGGTAAAGCACTCGCCCGGCCTATGAGGCACTTGGTTTAGTGGTATTTTGTGTGTGGGGCAGAGATTGAGGGAATGGTCAACTTACAAAACGTTAATTCTCAAGTTCCTCTCGTTCCAACTCTGTATCTCACCAATGTATTTTGTTCTGGTTTTAGTTTGTTCTTTCCAATAAGCAATTAATATACTATTACATTTTTAAAAATACTTTTGAAAAGGGAGCCAGAGAGAACATCTGCTGATCTGTGTTCATTTTCAGACTCTTTTATCTTGAGGTTGTCACTAAATATA